TTGGGTTCTTAAATGATAATTTTCTCATCTTGCAGCTCAACAAGTTATCAGCATTTTAATCTCAAACCCATTTACAAACTTGGAGACTAATAATCTCTAAAATTTATCTCATTTCTTAAAATATTTAAAAAACTGTTTTTTAATAAAAGATTTTTGCTTACAATACCTATAAAATGTTTTAACTTAATTGTACAAGTTTTAATTAGTAGATTTATTCATATTCGGCATAAATGAAATTTTAATATTTTTACATTTAGTCATGCATTTACAAATTTATATGTATATTTCATTAAATTATTGACACAATCATTACATATATACTTATTTTTAGCATTTTATAATATTTAAAGCCAGTTTTCATTTATTTTGATGCTAAGATTTTCATTATTATTCTTACTTTTGAGGATTTCTACACTTTCTTTAAATTTCCTACTATATGTATTTTTTTCTCTTTGTAAAATTTTAACATTTTCTCTGTCTACATTGCAATTATTTGGTGTATTTTATTTTATACTATGCTACGTTGATGGGAGATATTTATTTGGTGAAATTATAATTACTTGCGTAAAAAGTATATCTGCAGAAAATTGTGTTACAGATTCATTATACAGTGGTGCCTCGTATAACTTACTTAATCCATTCCAGGTGCACATCTGTTAAGTGAAAAGTCCGTTATACGAAATGCATTTTCCCATAGAAATATATGTTAAAACATAATTCGTTCCACAGCATAAAATAACTATACTGTACCATTAAAAAAATGAAAATGGAGCAGTCACCAATTATGCCAGGTAGTCAGATGTTGTGAGGAGGAGGTGGAGGAACACTTTCTTCGCACATTCATACAGATACAGACTTTGTACACATTGCAGCAGGTCTCTTTTTATTGTTTTTTAATCGGAGTCAGATTCAGGAGAGACTACCGGAGCTTGCAGGGTCAACTCCTCTTGTTCCATCCTTTGCTTTTTGCCTGCTGGCTTCTTGAAAAACATGTCCAAGATGATCTGTTTCTCTCTCTTCTTCAACACCTGTCGGAAATGACAAGCAAGGGTGTCATTGTAGAGATCATTGATCCTGGTGGCCTCAGCTCTGTTTGGATAATGAGTGTTGGTAAACTCCTGAACCTCTCCCATTCAACAAGGAAGCTGTTGTCAACTTTCACTCCTTCTGATGATTTCTTGCATTGTTTCAATTGAAATCACTTTTCTGTTTTTTTAGAAACCATGATTTGCAAAATACTTGAATAAATGTAAATACCCTGCACACGTAATAAACAAGGGAGCAAGCCGAATCCCAACAGAAGCTCTGTACTTCATATATACTAATAATATATTCTAATAACACTAATATATTATGAAAATACTGTAGCAGATTGTCATTGGAAATGGCAAGAGTGGAAATATCATTCGCACTTGTTCACAGAAAGTTTGTTGTTCACCTCACATAACTGCCGAACGGAAAGTCTGTTGTTCGCAGCCAGTCCGTTGCTCGAGTCACGTAACGGCCAAACAGAAAGTCTGTTGTTTGCAGCGTCCGTTATTTGAGGCGTATATTATAGAAGGCACCACTGTATTCCTATTAAAGGTGTGGAATATTTTCTAGAAAAACTTATTGAATAACCTCCCAATATATAACATTTTGTGTTTTATCATCAGGAACACAAACAGATTTGCACTACCGTGAGCACACAACAGAGTTGGCAATGTGAAAAGCAACTGCATCCCAAGTCAAGTCCCATAACTCTCAGGCTTTGGCCCTGAGACTTGTTAATGGTCACTGCCAAAGCATAGACTGACTGGAAATTGTAGGCATTTACATTTGAATAGGTAGTTTGTTGGGATTAATGGTATGCTATTAAATAATATATCTGTCCTTCAATTTTGAATGTTGGCATGAAATTTCTTTCAAGTATTTCAGTGGCACTAAAACTTGTCATTTGGAAGGCCCTATTGTGCTTTAAAAAAATATTTAGTGTCAGGATGAGTCCCATTTAATAGTGATAGAAAAAGTTCAGGGACAAGTACAACACCCAGTTTAACTTTGCCAGAAGAGTAGCAAATCATGTGATTCATTCTTCCACTTCAGAGCACTGCAATACCCAAATACTTTATCTATAGACCCAATATTAGCTGATGATGAATATGATGAATAATCTAAGTGTGTCATAAATAAAAGCACTTCAGAGTTTTTTGGCCAAAGATTTGTCGTTTTTGAGTAGGCATAATCTTTGCTCACACAAATAAATAAAACTCATGCAAAAATAGGTAGGCCTAATGAATCACGAACACAATTCAAAAACTTGCCATATGTACACGTACTGCCATCTAGCATAATGATGTCACTTTTTAATTCCTCAAAGATTTTGCTAATTAACTAATTATAATTTAATGTCAGTTCTTCAAATATAAAAGTACACTTCAATAATACACTTTTCTTATAGATAATGCCTTGACAAAGTACTAATTCATGTATTGCCATCTAGTGAATAGAGAGACAAATAGACTAGACAGAAATCCGTTGCAGTTTTATTTAATTAATAAAAAATCTGTAGTTTGATTAGTTTTATTTAATTAATAAAAAATCTGAATGTTTGATTAGTGGAGAACATTATGTTCTCCACTAATCAAACATTCTGGGGATCATAAAGACACTACAGTTAAAATTTAGTAATGATTGGTTCAGTGGTTTTTGCAGTTAATTGGAACAAACAAAAAAATACATTGTCTCTTTATATAGTAGTATAGATAAAATAAAAAATAGAATCATCTAAATCAGAAAAGCAAACAAACTGACAAAGGAACACTATACCTTTGTTTACATTAGCATGTTATTTCTTACAATATCAATTAATACTTTCATTTTCTTTTTCCTGAACTTCAATTGTCTAGTAGCATCATCATCTGCAAGGTCCTAATAAGCAGCCCTTGAAACTTTGGCAACAATTTTATTTCCTGTTCTCTGCTTTGTGCCACGAGACATCATTAAGTTGATTTTTCATGATGAAAAACATTCAAATTAAACTTGACTAGTGAAAAAATGAAAATAAACTATACGCCTGTATTAATAATTTGCATATCATTAGAAAATATTGTTTTAGTACTTAGTGTACTGGCAATTATGAGATGTACTCAGTAGGCTTAAAGCCTGCAATTCCACAAAAAAAAAATGCATACCGTCCACCAAAAGCACGAGTTAATTTGCAGATCACATCCAGAAAAGAATGCTCATCACTAGTCTATGACGACAAATTTTTAAAATAAAAAGAAAATAGAGACTGGTTTGACAATCTTTCTTTTTTGAAAATATAACCTAAAAACTAATTCTATTAATTCCTAAACAAATATAATATACTGAATATACTTTGTGTATATGTATATTTAGAGTTGTTTTTGAAAATCAGTTAAAACTGTTATAACATTTGGATGCTAAATAAATACATGGATGAGGATGTTTGAATATATTAGTTCATAGTTTAATTGAGCTCTGACAGGATACAAGCTACACTGATCAATAGGGAAATTGTAGTAATAATAATAATTGCATACAAATGATGTTTTAGTTATATGTTATAATGTTTACATTTTTTTTAATATACAACAAGAATATTTAAAATAGATGTAAATTATAATTATAATAATAATATAGCATGTTATGCAACATAATATGAGATGATAAAAACAGTTTCATAAAGCATCAGTTAATATATAATTTCATCGTGTAAAAATCCACAGAAAATTGAATGCGCAGATTCTATATTATCATACTGTACATATTAATACAACCCAAATAACTATTTAAGGTGTTTAACATTTTATTTTCTCAATAAATGTAACCTTATCAATCTTCTTTTTTCAAAATATGACATAAATAAAAATTTGAATCAAGAAATTATAACCGTGTACATTTATAGAATATTTTTTCAAATAGACATAGTTATCTAGTTCATGGACATAGCAGCCAGATGGCAGAGTGGTCAAGGTAGCAGCCTACCGCTCTGGGGACCCGGGTTCGAATCTAAATGGGTTGAAAAATCCCCAGGAATTTTTTGGGGGATGGTCTGTTTGGATATGTTGGGCCCCGTCCCTCACCACCTGGCAGCCCCATTTGAATATTTTTTCAAATAGACATAGTTATCTAGTTCATGGACATAGCAGCCAGATGGCAGAGTGGTCAAGGTAGCAGCCTACCGCTCTGGGGGACCCGGGTTCGAATCTAAATGGGTTGAAAAATCCCCAGGAATTTTTTGGGGGATGGTCTGTTTGGATATGTTGGGCCCCATCCCTCACCACCTGGCAGCCTGGCCAAACCCATAATGGGCTTGCAAAAAGAGGTCCACTTAGTGCCCACAGGGTGGAAATAGTTAAAAAAAAAAAAAAAGTTCATGGACATAGTCTCTGCATTCTTAAACTCAGCATAATCCTTATTGTTTCAAACAGCAAGAATTTAACTAATTTTTACACATTTTTACAAGAATAAGAAACAGTTTCTTTTACTTACTGAAACAAATAATTTCTTGCAAGCTAAAACTTTACCAAAACTATAACATATTAAATGTTAATGTACTGTATTGCAAAATTTATCAAGAATAGTGCCAAATACAGACAACTATATATTTCAAAGTTTTCTATACTCCAATCCATTTTACTAGTTTTATGAAAGTTTAAAAATATATTAAGTAATTATAAATTTTTAAATTTCTGTATATATATAAATTATAGTATACATATCTTTTTTTTTTTTAATATTTTATAAAAAGCACACTTTACATACAAAGATTTCATTATAATTTCACAAACACATTTAATCCACTAATAAAAATTTTGACATTTAATTTCAATTAAATAAATATGAAATAAAAATAAGTCATTTTATTGCTTTAAAATACTTCAAACGTAAAAAAAATTTTCTATATTACGAAATGTTTAGTTTATTATCGATAAATACTTTGACTTTACTTCGAATTTTTCCAACTCGATCGAGTAAATTAAGCAAATACCCACCTTAACATTGGCGAATCGATATCGAATGACTTCTCTCCTTGTACGCCTTCATCTCTTTTCGGCATAGAGGCCATCATGGCTTTCCTGTCTTCTCTTTTCTTGCAAATAGATGACGTATGTATACATTGCATCAGTCTCAAATTTATAATGCGATCGATACATTCGAATAGAGTTCTCCTGGCTAAAAGCATGGCCGATCTTAATACGGTTACTCTTTTTTTTATTTTTTTCTTTTCCTTTTCGGTGACGAAGCTGTAATATAATCTTTAAATATAACAACTAAACAACCATATTTGACTGTAATGCAGCAGTATTATAGCATTAGTGATGAAGAAACAAAAATTGCCGTTTGAGGCAGGAGTGCAAAATATAGCCAATATATCGCGGCGAAAAAATTTTCCTTACTTTGCTTTAAATATTAATTATTTATAATGATAATATTTTTTAACGTAAATGATTAAAGGTGTTATATAATTTTAATGTATGAAATTATTTCGTATATATATATTTGAATTTGCTGAAATTATTACTTTCGATAAGTGCGTGTCGTGTTTTTTTTTTTTTTCAATGGGAATAAATTTTTAGTAATAAATTTGACTAATTGCGAATGACTTAAGAAAAGAATCTTTTCTCTCCCGTTATTTGCAGTGATAGAATGGTAGATCAGAAATAGGTACTTTCATTCGTACATTAATTAAGTTTCACGCAAGATATTGCTGATATGTATGGAGTGTTTACGTCGCTTAAAAAATGTCCTAGATAGGTATTATTCTTGAGAATACCCGTAGACACAAGAATATATATATGCATACATTTGTAACTAAACAATCGCAGCGATTTAAAAAATTGCGACTGTCGTTCTACCCAATGAATAACACAGACAAGCATGAACATGCACCCACTTGCGATAATCTAGTCGCAGTTTTGAAGCAGTCTACAGTCTTGTTCTGGTCTCTAGTCTGAGTCTTAAGACGTCGTCTTGAGACTCAGCCGGCAGAATTTTCTGCTAGGAATAAATTTTTAGTAATAACTTTGACTAACTATTATAAAAGGGTCTATTTAAAACACCACTAACAGTGCAAAACTATTTTTTGTCATTCGGTAATACTGGAAAACTTTGCAGAGTGCTCACATAAATTTTCAAATAACTTGTAAAACTGCCCTTTCAATAACCTTTGATTTGTTATTGGATGTACCCAATAACGATGCTTCTGCCGTTTACTTCTTGCCCGAATCAAAAGAGCAATCACACAAGTAATTTCAATGACATCCATTGGAAAACTATTCTAATTGAACAATTTATCTATCGTGGTGTGTATCTTGTACATTTTCTGCGGCAGCGATTTATTACTCGCCGCGACTAGAAATCACAAGTGGAGGCCTAGCCTAACAGTCGATATATATCATTCTAACCGGTAAAATTCACTAACCAATCTATGAGATAAAGAGCAAGTGCAGGGACGCACATACGGGAGCAAAAAAGAAAATTGCCCTGGGTCATAAGGAAGTAGCAGTCCCTACACAATATTTTTTCATTCACTTCCTTTACTTTAATTAATATAATTTAATTTGTTAATGAACCTGAGATAAAATATCAGAGGGTAATAGAACCTTATTTTACCTCAGGTTCCATGAGAAATGATTCTCATGAATCTTCAATACAGTCTACGTATGGTTTTCAGACCAGGAAGTGCTTTCTTATCATCGATAAAGTGGACTAAATAGAGAAGTAATGTATTTAAGTATTGAATAAAAACCAAGATTATCATCATATTAATGCATCTATTTAGGATGGAAATGACTTTGTTATATGAAACATATATAGTGAACCTATATATGTGAGTGGCCAACATATAGTGAGTGGGATGTAATCGGCTTTTAAGAGCAAGGTCGCCTAGAATGTAACCGAGGTCTACAATAAAATACAGTGGAACCACGGTTAACGAACGTCCTGCTTAACGACCAAATCGGTTAACGAACTTTTATTTTGCAAAAATTTTGTCTCGGATAACGAACTTAACGGCTTTTTGTGTCAAATTTGTAAGCTTGCCGACTTTTAGGGGGAATCAGTTAATCGTTTGTCGGTGATGGTCTAGGGTCCATTTGTACGTTGGTGGTGGCGGAGGAGACAAAGATGACAAGTATTTTACAGTGAAAATCGTTTATTAGAACGTTCACATATTTGAGGTGTTGGAAGTGGCTTATCTACAGTATTTTCTCCCTGCACTGAGGAGTGGCGTATCGCTGGTCCTACGATAGTGCAAGCTGATCAGTCGTAGCCCCAGAGCGGACGAGATGGGTTCGCTTCGATGGGTTCGTTACAGAAGCGATTGTAGGTGACAGAGCTGCAACAACTGGAGCCATGCAGGAAGAACAGATGAAAGTCTTACAAGAAGAGCATTCGTCAGAGTAAGAGGCTAGGGAAGAAATCACCAGTGCTGAGATCAAGGAAATTTGCAGAAAATGGAATGATGTGCAGGAATTTATCGAGAAGCACCATCCTAACAAAGTTGTGGCTAATAGGGTCATTAATTTAATGAACGGACACTGTGCTAGCACATTTCAGAAAAATTTTGATTAAGAGAGTAAGATAATCAACTTTAGACCACTTTCTTGTTCCTTATCAAAAGAGACCTCGACTCGAAGAAACTCCCGTTGCAGTGCTACCCGATATTTTTATGGAGGGGATCCCTCTTCCAAGCATTAAGCTCCGTAGAAACAAAGGTATGTGCAGTGTTACTTTATTAAATAAAGTTTTCATATTTGTTGCTGTAATAATAGATACTACGTTTTCTTATATTTTCATCAAAGAAAACCTATTTTACAAATAAAATTACAAAAATACTGACGGCTAGAACGGATTAATTGTATTTGCATTAATTTCTACAGGAAAATTGCTTCGGTTAACGAACGGACTCGTGGAACGGATTACTTTCGTTAACCGGGGTTCCACTGTACATTTTGGGAATTCTACAACAAATTAAATTATTATGTCAAAGTAAAAGAAGAAAACAAAAACGCTGTTTAGGGATTATATTTCCTCAGAGCCCAGGTTAAGTTGCTCCTTCCGCCCATAAGGGCAGCATGTTCCTGGGTACAAAGTAACTATGATCTACCACCACATTTTTATTCTTCTATAAAATTGATTAATTTACTGTTATGAAATTATACTGTAAAATGTAGTTTGATTTGTTTATTGCAGGTAATTGGCGTTCCAGGTTACTTTTGGTAAAAACACTAAGGTATATAAACATACAGCAGCTATTTTATCATTCATCACAAAAAAAATTTTTTATTTATTTTATTTCCATTCATCGTACAAATTATAAGTTTCTCTTCTCTTTGTTAAACATACTTTTCACACAACTGAAATTGTTTAGGGCATAACAGAACAACTTCTAAAATAACAAAACTTACATACAACAATCGATGCATAGAGCCCGTTCCTTTTCTTCGTGTTTGTCGTTCAGTGTCTTCAAGTGTTTTTATAACTGTGTCTCAATCAGAAACAAAGACGACCATTCGTTATCTCGTACAGCCAGGACCGCTTAAGAGCATTTGGCGCGATAAGTGCCCTTTAACTGGTGTTGATTGTGGACCTCTAAATTTTTGCGCCCTAGGCTACTGCCTAGTGTCCCTGCATAAAAAAAAACTAACAATTACATGTATAACATAAAACTCTTAGCGATGGTTAAACCATGAGTTTTATTACACTCCAAACTAAACGTTTCCATCCGAATAGAAAATGCTTCAAATGACAACATTTCTTTTTCTTTAGTTCTCTAACACAAAATAGTTCTGGAAAAAATGTCTGTTTATTTTTATTCTTTTATGCGATTTGGTTACGCAATTATCAAAATCAATTACTGTATTTTAATTGAAAAATAATATAGCTTGAAATATTAGAGGAAACTTCAAAATTTTTTGCTGAGTGTTCAACAAAAAATGTTTTCTATATAATAAATGAAGCGATCGAAGAAATAGTTCTTGGACCATCGAAAATTTGGCAAGCGATCACATGAGTATCATTAGATTATTGGCTTTATAACTTAAAATTGTGAAAATTTTATCATATAATTGCATTTGTCACTATATCTTGTTAATAATGTCACAAAAATAAGCATTTTACAATTCTAACAGTTTGTTATCATAATTAATTTCTTACGTTTTTCTCATATGCAATGCAGCGTTTCCATTTAAAAAAATAATCCAATAACGAGTTGCTTAATTTTTCCGGCAATATTTGGTGGTACTATCTGTTATATTTTATTTTAAAAACATTTATTTTTTTTTTAATTACTGTATATAAAAATGAATGTTTGTCTGTATGTCCTTCATGCATTACCACACCGTTTATCCGATTGCCATGAAGCTTTGGGAAGTTTTTTAATACACTCCCGCGAAGGTTTCTGGCATTTATCCTACGATAGATGGCGCGCGTTTACACGAGCATTCGAGCAGTGTGTGTTCGATCGATTTGAAATTGTGAAGACCATTTCCCCCCTTCAAAAAATATCTCTGCATTTGTGAACTGTTATTTACGATATTTGTAATAATTTTTTTTAATCACTTTATTTTAAATTTTTTTGCTAATTATGTATTCGCTCGAACTTCGTTAAAACTTTAACCGTACCCCGAACAACAACCGAAGTTATAGGAAGAAATTCGCGTATTTTACCGATCTAGGGATCCCCCTTTTCCAAATTTTAATATCGACTCAAAATAATTTAAAAAGACAAATTACAATAAAACTGTTTATTATCCAACTATCAGAAATTTCACAACATGCCAAGGAAGAGAGGAAGGAGCAATTAAATAATTAAAATTATAAAGGATTAAAAAATATATATATAAAAATGGGGAATATCGCACTTCTGACAATCGCTGCAAGTGTATGAGCTAAATTTGGAGAATCCGTGCTTCTCGCATGGACAACTATATGTGGCCGGCTGACGCGTCGGAAAACCTGATTTATTCGTGTACGCACTAGACGAAAAAACAAAAAACATCGTGTATCCACAAACACTCCGATAAATAAATAGAATTGAAACGACATTTTGAAATGTTTCCCCGATGAAAATGAATAATAATAATAATAAGTTTCAATAAAAATGATAAAATGTAAATTGAATTTTATCATAACGAGTTTGCTTGAATTTCCTTTCTTCTGAGATCGCAGCAATGCGCGACGGGTAAGCTAGTTTATTTATAAAGAAAAAGGTGCTTAGCATATCATTTACATTTTCAGCTCTCATAATTAGTTCAAATATACATACAGGGTTGATTACAAATAATCTTTCTGATTGACATATTGCTTACAAACAAAAGAATATAGGATGATCATTTGTGGAGCTCATAAGAGAAAAACTCAAAAATTTTTATCACCAAGTTAAAATATGTTCTATGTAATGATATATGGCAAGCTGTTTGGATTATTCTTTTTCTCTGAAAACATCATAGAACATGACTTTACACAGCCAGACAGCTTTGTCTAATGTCTTAGCTGCTATATGCAACCTGATGGCAGTGGTGTATTATCCTAGGGACAAAAAGAGCAATTTCTGGAGCCCTAAAACCAATCTTTTATAAGAAACTTCCCACAAAAACAATTTTCCCCAGAAAAATGTCTAGTCAGCACTGCACATGGGCCCCCTAATTCAATATTGTCTTGTTCATGAATCTATAATTGATAATTAGCCTCCTTGCTTGCCAGATCTAACCCCATGAACTTTTTAATGTGAGGATTCATTAAAGACAATGTTTATGTTCTGCTATTGCCAAGAATATTAGAATGAGAATTACAGCAACTCTGCCAATGTCACCAAGGCTATGCTGTATGGGACAAGATAGAATATCGTTCAGTGTACTTTATGTTGAGCAATAAAAGGTAACCATATTGGATTGAGTACATATTATTGGGTTAAAGGTCAAGGGGGTTGAAAGATAAAGGAAATCTCCTTTATCTCTACCCCCTTGTATCTCCAGTAGAGTCAGACTTAATGACGATTTTACTGATTATTAGCACTTACAATTTTTTTATAAAACCTATCCCTACCCACAAAATTAAGCTTTTTGTCATTTTATAATACAGTATATAGATTACTGTTTTTGATAACTACTGACTGAAAATTTTAATCTTTATTCAATTTTACTCAGATCAAATAAACTCAAAACCAGCAACATATAAAAGGAATTTATTTTTCAAGATATTCTGACAATTTTTATACAGAATTTGGCATTTGAAGTTTGTTTCAAATAATGCAGCTGAAATATATATATCACATTAGTTACAACACTTATAGATTCATCTTTTCTTAGTTTTGAATTTTAGAATAATTTAGAATTTTCATTAATGTTAAGTAATTAAGTAACTTCCATTAATTAACTTAATTCCTATTATGTTTTCAATATAATTGAATTTTATAATAAAATACTTATTAAAACTATTATTGCAAAATATGATTAAAAATATTTTTTACAAAAATAAATGGTTATAAGGATTAATAAAATTTAACTTTTATTCAGATACATTTATTACAAGATTTTGTACAAAGCATTGGACCATTCTTAAGTATTATTGTAAAATGTATCACAATAAGAAGAAAAATTTTTAAGTTTACAAATTTTTATAAATCCACGAAAATATTTTTAAATAAAAAGATCAGATTTAGCATAGAATTTTAATACAATCTGTTTCAAGGATATAATTCTTAAGAATAAAAAGCTGAATCTAATTTAGCATACATTTTTTACATCATTTTCTCCATCAATATTTTAAATGCCTTAAATTTAAAAATATATTTGATTCTAAAAAAGAATATATANAATAATTTACTTTGGTATATGCTTCCAACATGTATTTTATATATATATATATATTTTTTTTATGTATATAATATAAATAGCAGCGTAATGTACAGAAAAATGAGTACAATCCTAATTACTATGGCAGGTTTATATTTCATTTGTATACTGGAAGTAAATTCAATTGCTTTATCATTGAAGATATTGCTACTTTAATTCCTTGTGCTAGTTGTTCAACCGAAAAAGGTTGATCCACTGGAGGAACATGAATAAATGCTGTGGCAGGACTTACATTTAGTGAAGTGTAATATATAAATTCACATAAATACCTGAAATATAAATAAAAATAATAAATAGAGCAAGATTAAATCTTAAATTCATTTAAATTTAATGCATATTTACACATTAAATAAAATTTATGAAATTTTTAAAAATTGAAAATATTCTTTTATTATTAAATAAACAGCAAATCGATTTTGTTTCTAAACATTTATTAATAATTCCATATTTATTAAAAAATATAGTATTATAATATTACCAAGCATATGTATTGTACATTTAAATGTGTTAACAAACAAAGAAAAAAGTTAATTTGAACCTTTCAATTTAAAAAGCTTTGGATGCCTTTTGGATGTTATTATTTGAATGTCAGTTTTGTTTGAAACATCATGTAACTAAAGACAAAAACTTAAAACCTGGTAGGCCTAATGATCTTAGCCTCATCCTATTTTATCTGTACAACCTGCTAGGAGGTATAAGTTGCTAAGACCATGGTGCTGAGGTTTTTTCAATGGCATATTTGTTTTCCTTAGTTCTTTGTGTTAGTTTGTGTCTGGTAGTGCTCACATATGCATTAGTCCTCAATTGAAATAGTATAAACACCCTAGGAGTTGGTGTAGCTAGGTAGATCCTTGTCATTGTGTCTAATTCCAAAAATCATCAGATTATGCTTTATTTAGAATGTGCTTCCCATTCTTTTTAATTTAAATTATTTCTGTTGTGCTTAATATGTTTTTGAATATTCTTTTTGTTCTTTTTTCTTTTAAGTTAGGTGTTCCAACTGAAAAAGGCTTACAGAAGTAAGTTGAAAACATTTTTGATTGATTAAATATATTGCTGGAGTTATACAAGGTGTACTGCTTCTTTCAATTATAAAAATATCTGGGATATGTTGTTTATTACACTGTCTTTCAAAAACAGACAAATTTGCATCAACAGACTACAAAGTTGATTGATTATTACTAATATACACATTTGAGTGCATGTGTAACAGTTGTTAGTACACAAACTTATGAAAGATGACAAGTTAACAGATGACTAAATGACTGAGGAAGTATTCCAACTGGCATGGCACATTATCAGAATTTGCAAAACCTAAGTCCTAAAAATTGTAATGTTGATTATGTTTCTTCAAAAAGTCAATCACTATTTTTAATTTTCATAGAATAAATATAAGATAGAGAATGAAAACAAAGTCCCAGTTCAGTTCAAGTCTAGCACTAGTATATTGTGTGAAATGAGTGAATCACATCAGTTGAGTGAACATTGGTGTCCTATATTTTGCAAATTCACACACAACACAGAAACTGAAAGACAACACCAGTCACACAATCACAGCCATCAATGTCATTATGTTCTGCTGGGTGTTCTTAAACATGATTCAACATGCACAGCTGTGTATAGATGCAACAGAGACCATCATCTGTGATGCAAGCAGTTGGTTTCTGTGTTTATTACTGTACTAGCAGACCCCGCCATGCGTTGTTGTGGCTCAAAATGTATCTATTGTAAATGTATAACACTTCCCCCGTGGGGGGGGGAATTTTTCGAAAAATTTCTTCTTAGTGTACATTCTGTTGACGTACCCTATTAAAACGCAATCAAAAACGCAAAAATCCGCATTTAAAATAGTATCAATAGAAGCAGAGTTCTTTACGGAAAGCTTTAATTAATCCTAACCATCTCCCTTCAGTAGGGGGAAATTTTGACACGTATATTATATAAAAAGATGTGCGTATTCGAATGCAGCGTTGTGTCAAAATTTCAAAGAAATCG